CAGGTGAGTATTAATCTGCCAGACCCGCCCGCCCGCATCCACATGCCGCACCTCCTCCTCGCCTCACCCTTGCTGCTGCCAGACCCGCCTGCAACCACACGCCGCGCCTCCTCCCCGCCTCATGCGCACCGCCCACACTGGTAGTGGAGGGATGCCTCGTCAGGGCTGTGCGCGTGCATGACTGCTGCGACCCTGGTAGTTCTGCCACTAACTCAGAAATACATTGTACAGCATTGCAGAATGGCATTGGCTATAGAGAACTACAATTCCAAGAAATACATTACACAACAATGCAGAATACCATCAGCTATAGCGGACTATAAATCCCAGCAATAATGACTACCAACAGCTATAGAGAACTACAATTCCCAGCAATACCATTATACAGCAATGCAGAACAGCATCAGCTATAGAGGACTACAAATCCCAGCAATACTGAATAAATGTCAGTCAAAGTACAGCAGCGCTGAATACTGAAAAATGGCCTGGACAGGAACGGGGTGTAAACACTTGGCCTTCAAGTGGTTAAAGTAGTATTAAACTCTCAATCTATTTTTTCAATAATGAATCCAGATCAAACAAATATACAGCCCAGCACACTATTTCGTTACATTTTTGCTCAAGCACTTACAGTCATCATGTTTCCATACGCGTGCCGCGTAGTGCCTTATGAAGCCCTTATTGGCTAGCTCCGCCCAATTGTTTATATTTTGCCGCCATCTGTCAGAATGCCATTAGGGGGCGGGAGTTTGTCGCGAGTGGATGGGTCGGCGGGTGTCGGGTTTAAAAAAAATTATTTCTATTTATTTTTTTATTGTTTCATTTTTTATTTCGTGGAGTTGTCACAGTCGTGGACAACGCTGGACGTCTTGATTGACCCTGGATTACGTGGGTGGATCCATTTTTTTTATTTTAATTTTTTTTTTACAATAAATTTTACAATATTTTTTACAGCAGTGGCTGGGTACAATAGTCAGCCTGCTATTGGCTATTGCAATTTGGAATGGCCAATAGCAGCCTAGCTATTCACTCCCCTGCTAGCGGTTGTTTGTATTCTGACAGCGGCTGGTGGTAAGATTCCTTACCTGTTATGCAGACCAACTTAATTTACTGAATACGTTTTTCTTTTATTTCATGCAAGTACTAGTAAAATCAAGTGATTACATTTGTGGTTATGTTTTTTTAAAATTTTTTTCGTGTATGGTGTTGCTGAACACAAAGAGAGCAATGACAGCCTCAGCATTTCTCTCCGGAAAGCGTTTTTCCTTTAGGGCTTGTTCACACCAGCAGCCTCGTTCAGGTGTGCGTGTGCCCGAACCGTGCCGATGCGCTCTATCACGCCACATTGCACTGTTTTTATTTTGTTAGAACCTTATTGAAATGTCACAAGTGACATTTCAGTAAGTTCTACAGTATGGACACACTGCGGTGTGATGCGGTTGTAATGCGTCTCACTGCGGTGCGGTGTTGCATGTCGTACTTTTTTTAGGCATACACCACCACAATGCGGTAATGTGAACTGTGCCCACCTGCGACAAAGCAAGTTGCCTTATCTTGCGTTTGGGCTGCACTGGAAAAAAAATGTCCAGCACTGCCCAAATGCAGATGGTATGAATGGGCCCTAAAATACTTTCTTTGACAGAACCCTTGCACCGGCATGGCCATTAAAAGAGTTTGGCTGCTTTTTTTTCTTGTGCATATTAGGGTCACATGTTGTGGACGGCATTGTCTAGTTAAAAATATAGAAAATATTAGGTAGTGGCAATAAAACCTTCATCGAGATACTGAACCCATAAATCACACCTCCACAGTATAAACTACACTATGTTTCCTACAGCAGGAAACAGGATGCAGGACTCTTGACCTTTTGCTTTTATATATTTTCTAAAAAAAAAAGAAAAAGAAAATTGTTTTAAATCACTTAAAGCTGAACTCTGTTTGTTTTTTTCTTAAAACACTTTTAATGAAAGTGTTTTAAGATCCTGATTTGACCTGGTATTAGCATTTTGTATTCCCTGTACAGCAAAATAGGAGTGTGAGACGAAGAAGCAGCACAAAGAGCCAATCAGTTCATATTCTGACAAGTTCATGTTCTGATAGGAAGAGAAGCATAGTGAGAGAGAGAGATGAGCTCATCACTGTGCTACTTCTCCTTTCACGATCCATTCACAGGGCCAGGATGACCTGGGCTCAGAGGAAGTGGGCGGAATGATGCTGACCATCAGACTGAGAACAACTAGTAGCAAAGAAATCTCTGCATTGAAGGTGAATATTGTAGCAAAAGCTGGTTTTGTTATTGTATCTTTCAATGGGCTATTAATTTTTATCTGGAGTTCTGCCTTAACCATCTACTGCCCATGTCCACTCAACTCCTTTGCAGCATATAATTTCTCTGGATTCTTAGGTGACAGCACAGAAAAAATCAAGTATTTTACATTCTTGCTTGCAGTGTTTTTCCTATCCATGCTTGCAAATTGCTAGAAAATGTGACTACTCCAGGAGAGTCAATTCCCTATCACAGCCCCCTGCCTCCTTGCATGTCATAGGTCTCTTCTCCTCTGGGACGGTCTAATTATTTTCTGTGCTGAACAAGCTCCTCTGCTCCTCCCCTCACCTCCTTTTTATGTTGATGTTGGGGAGGAGCAAAGGGGAATACTATAGAGTGACAGCTCTCAGTCTGCTGACGTCACATCCAAGATAGTGGCACCCAGCAACAATATCCGTTGGATAGCTACACAAGAGAGGCTTTTATAGGCTAAAATACATTAAAATTATATATATGGCTACTACTTTTTACGTTTTGGATAGAGCATGAATGGGTTAAGCTCCACCAGAATATTTTTTTGCTGTCTGTGTACCATTGGGGAGTTTTCCGGTTAATTCCTTTCCACGAGGTGCAAATAGAAGATAGTAGTAATCTTCCAAAGTAATATGACAGTTGTCCCCATCTGAAAATTTCCCCTCACCTCTTATTCTTACTCTTATAACGCTAAAGTTTTGGATTTCCTCTCACTTTCTGTCTCGGTGACAATGACCACCAGTATAACTAGAGTATTACCACTCTATCCCATACTAAAAAGTAACGTTTAGGCTGGATATAGACATGCACATATTATCTCAATCTGACCGACTCGGATCGAATTTTAGCATTTCACTGCTGTATTGGCAAAAATGTGATCTGTTGGTGGTATATTCCAAGATGACAATGCCAGGATTCAACAGGCTCAAAATGTGAAACAGTGGTTTAGGGAGCATGAGACATCATTTTCACACATGGCTGGGCCACCACAGAGTCCAGACCTTAACCCCATTGAACACTTGGTGAGAAATTGATGCTGCACGCTGATGTTTTAAAGTTTTAGCTTCCTGCAGAATCAGCTGGTCATCTGAGCACTGACCCTTATATCCTGGTATCTTATTTTAGGGTGGCTAATTTCCCTTGGAAGGCCCTATTGAGCCACCCTTGTGTGTGCTATTAAGCTGTGTGTGTCTCCACTAACAAACAGGCACAGCAGGGCAAGGCACCCTCCTGCTCCCCCCTTCTCCTCCCTCCCTTCTCCAAGCTAGTAGATGGACATCTGCTGAAGTCTGTGCTGTCCCTTGTAATCTTGTACTGGACAGGAAGGTTAGTGAAGCCAACTTGAGAGAGTTGGAGCTGTTCAGAAACATGTTGACTATAAGGCTGCATTCACACCTAAGTGACAGTGTTTTTGCACACGTTTTTGTGTGGCACTTTTGAGTGTTTTTGTGCATTTTTGCGTGCATTTGATGGGCATACGTTAAGTCGCACTTTTCAGCTGGCAGATTGTGAAATATTTGTGTAAACCAGGATTCAATTTTTCTTTAGCAGGTGTCAGGAAGATGCTATCGTATAGCGGGAGACTCCCGGGCACCTCCAGGAGAGACGGGATGTCTGGGTGTGAACAAGGGCTATAGAAATGAATGGGACTCCTTGTTTTGCTTGAAAAAATGCCTAGGCAAAATTAAAGAAATACTTTGCTAGGCAATGTCTAATTTGATAATTGGATTCATTATTGAAAAAAGTTTGAGAGTTTAATATCACTTTAATGCAACTCTAGATGGAAATAAATGTTGTGGTTAGAGGTGCACCGAAATGAAAAAAATGTCAGGCCGAAACTGAAACTAAAAATGTTTTTTTTTCTAACTTTTTCACATTTTTTTTTCAAATATTTTATTTTTTATAATCTTATTTTTTTAAATATTTTATTTTTATTTATTTATTTTTATCAAATATATATATTTTTTACTTTACTTTTAAGGGCTTCAGGGAAATATTAGGGTTCTAAACTGAGCCCTGATATTTCCCTTTTAAAATAGAAAATGAGACTGAGAACACAGAGCCCTCAATCTCTTTTTCTGCAGCCCCTGTTATAAAAGAACAGTAATCCTCTATACTGACTGTTCCTGTTCATTCATAACTTGTGGAGATAGCAGGGATGCACCACTATTTTGGCCGAAAGATGGCACTTTCGGCATTTTGATAAAAGTGCCATTTTCGGCCGATATGTTTCGGCGGCTGAAATTTCATCGCATCCATAGTTGTGATATTGCGTAAGCTCATCAAAACGATGTCACGGCGAATGCGTGCCGTAATGAAAGCTAAAGGAGTCCCAATGAAATATCAGAGTGTGTAACTTTTTTTGGCCGGGCAGTGTAAATTCAAGGCGGAATATTATTGCACTTGTATCCTACTATGATCTAAAAGGCACACACAAAAATTAATCGTCATAAAGGAATGAGGATAAAAGAGCTAAATGATGTGTCTTCTGTTATTTCTGATAGGAATCACAATGTGTCAAACTCTCGAGAACATTTCCTAAGTATACCAGTCCCTCCCCGTGGGAGGCCTGTCCTTCCACTCTTGCAGTGACAATGCCTGTTATGCTGAAACCTCCCACAACTGTCTACACCAGAGAGTCACTGTGGCTGCAGGTAACGAACGCGCATTCCTTCAGTGATTGCTGTGTAAAGTCAAGGCAACACAACTCTGACAGATGTGGATGTACAAAAAGTTCCCTTCGCTACCTCTCAGTTCCCTAGGAGGACTGGTCGTCCGGAGACAATAAGTTCCTCTTCTGTAGTTTCGCTTTGTCAAAGTAAGTAGAAAAAGTTGGACAAGTTGTAGAAATAACTGCGGCTTTGGCAGTCAGATGTTGGTTTGCTGTTACAGACTCAGCACTCGCAGATCGCTGTGTGGTTGAAAGCAAACAGATGTTTGAGAAACACGCTTGTTACACTTGTGGCCTGCAAACCACCTGCAAACAAAAACTTAAGTATCACAGAATCCATATGTGTTTGGGCAATTCTGAAAAAGACTCCTGAAAGCTACTGTATAATTATTTCATGGATTCGGAGTATGTAGAGTGTACTTTATTTTTAATTAAAAGGCCCACACAAATCAGATACTCTCCAGGGTGCTGGATTCAATTTCCACCAGGGATATTATCTGCATGGAGTGTGTAAGTTTACCTATTTGCATTAGATTACATTCGCTGTTGGGGTCGAGGACTTGTGTGTATGACTCTCTGTTCTCTGGCCGGGGCTAGGGAACATGTCATTACGATTGTATTTAATACAATCTCTCTGTTTGGGTAGATCAAGGCAAATCAGTCAGTGGCTTTTTAAACTAAAGCTGACCATGCAGTGTTTAAATTTCGGTTGAGTCCTGCAAAATTCAAAATGACGGCACCCCTTCGTTCAACAAAAGTTGATTTTTCAGTTGACTTTTGTCAAAGAAGCCGGACTGAAATTTGCCAACCGGACACTGATTGCAGCCAGTCATCTGCAGTTAACGTTCCTGCTGGTCCTAGCTGGCAGAATACAGTAGCCAGCAGAGATGATTAACTTTGAAAAGGTTGTGGGGGAGAAGGTGGTATACTGTAGCACTGTGTCCTTTTTGGGCTCATTCACACCAGCAGCCGCACTACAATGCATGGCTATTGGTGTGTGTTGCCCGTCACAGTGCTGATACACCAATCCTAGTGCATCGCATCATATTTTTTGTTGTTGTTGTTAGAACTTTAATAAAATGTCACCAGTGCCAATTCTTAAGTTCTATGGGCACAGCGTGGTACAATGTACTGCGTTGCATTGAAAAAAGTACTGCATGCCAAACTGCAATGCAGTGGTGTGAACTGAGCTCATTTAAAACAATGCAAATTGTGTTGGGGCTGCACTGCTGTGAATATGCCCTTAAAGAAGAACTCTGGACAGAATTTTTATTAACCCTTGCAGTGCTCATTTTCATCTAGGGACTAAAATAAAAAAAGTTATACTTAAACGAACCTTGGAGCCGCCTTGCTCTTAGACCGGTCCCTGGAGCCTCTCTTCCTCTCCACTGCAGCGGTCTAAGGATCCTCGAATCATCATGTCCAATACACTGTGTATTGGACGGGAGGACGCCAAGGAACATACAAGTCGCTGTAGTGGAGGAGGAGCGCGGCTGAAAGGACCGGTCTAAGAGTAAGCCGGCTCCAAGAATCGGGTGAGTAAAACTTTTTTATTTAATCCCTAGACCAAAAACGAGCAGTTAAGCCTTGCAGTGCATCGGGTTGATAATCATTTTGCCTAGATTTCTGCTTTAAAGGAGAACTATGGGGTTAGGGCTTTTCTCTGTAGTTCTCCTAAGGGTAACGGGAGGACACAAACTAGCGTCCTCCCATCACCCAAAGCTTAGTATACCGCGAGCTACAGCTACAGCTCGCGATATACTGAGATGCCGCAGCCGGAACGGATCCCAACAATTCTGTCTGGATCCACCCAGCTGCATGAGTGACAGCTGGCTCTGCCTGTCTAGAGGCAGAGCCAGCTATATCTGCCCCCTCCCCTGTCCATTCCGCCAGTCAGCGCTGGAGGATCAGACAGGGGAGGGGGGGAATCCCTGCAGGGAGAAGTGAGTGACAGTCACAGCTTTCTGCACGGATAGATCGAGAAGTGAGCGAGCACCGGTATGTGTTCGCTCACTTCCTGATCTACTGAGCCGACCTGTGACAGTGAAAATCACTCGCCTCATAATTCTCCTTTAAAGGTTGGCTCCACTCAAAGCTGATATTTATGTTTTGGATAGGCACCAGTCATATGAATCACTCTCTGAGATTTCTGTTAATCTATTTGCCCTTGTCCTACATAGTAAAGGTGTAACTCATCTTTAAATGATCTTCAGTCATTTCGTTTTCTCTGTCACATCGACAGCGAGGGTAGCTACGTGGAAGGTGCAGAACTACAGTGGATCAATTTGCTTTTAAAAGTATTTATGAAAAAGACAGACATGCCAGTGAAAGCACCTGCTTAACATCAGCATGGAAACTCTTGCTGAGCCCAGAATTTGAATTCTCTGTATGTGTGTTCCCATCTCCACCCACTTTAAGAAGGGGACTCCCCCTGTTGTTTTTTTTTGTCAGCAACTTTACATGATAGATAATTGAGAAACCATATTTAGATTCTATGGTATGTTGGGCAATTGAGTGCACAGCACCTTCAAATAAAAATAATATAATTGCTTTTAAGAACTAGACCATTTATTTCAGTGGTTCAATTGAAATCTACTCAGTTGTGTATGGTGCACTTTATCAGCTTGCTCCAAAAACCTGCATGGGCCACCACCACTGTAATGATAGGTGCCCACCCAGGACACCTTACCACCACACTGAAACTGCACTTTGCATGCCATGGGTCTTTTTGACCTTTTGATGCTCAGATGTAAATTAACTTTAAGTTATCATGTGGTGCACTCAAACTTTTACAAATGAAAGAGCCTGTATGGGCTTTGAAACTACATCATGAACCCTGTTGTTCTATATCATCTGCCATTTTAGGCTAAAGAAGGTTTAAAAGAAACTGCCTGCTGCGTCATTCAGTGAGATTACTGGACAGGAAGTCAAGTGTGTGTAAGAGAAAACCTTGAGTCAGGACTAGAATTCTATCTCATTTATCTTCATTTCTCTAAAGCCTCTGTAATCTTTACATAAATACTTTAAAGTGAAACTCCAGGAAATGTATTTTTACATTTTTTTGTTCCTTGTTGTGTTAAAAAAAATCCCAATTATATTCCTGTGTTCTCCATACTCCAGTGCTGTCCCCGATTATAACCTCAGTCCAGTGCTGGCGGTCCTCTTCAGGGCAGAATGACAATCTATTATTCTGCACATTTCATTATGCCATTTTTATTTGTTAGTCCTTGAAGAAGGACCACCACCAGAGGAAGAAGAGGAAGTGCTAGTGATGTCATATGACCGTCAAGGAGACTGCAGGAAAAAGGCATATATACGCTTCAAGGGTGGGGGAATGGCTGGCTTTAAATGTTCCACTTTAAATGTTATCAGTACCACTGGTTCTAGACATTAGGGAGATAATAAACAGCCTCCTTGTGATATCACTTAAAGTGACATTAAATCCTCAGATTTTTTAACATAAACCAATACTGTAATGTGTGCCTTACTGTAATCCATGGTTGTTTCCCTTCTCTTTGCTGCTCTTCCTTTTAAATCCTTCTGTCTTCTCATGCTTGGGGATAACTTCCTTTTGCAGCTGAGTGCCTCTTCCTGTAGTGCTGGCTCAGGTTGTGAACCTTCACACAGACACCATGTATCCATTTCAGAGAAAAGGCAGTCTGCTGCAAAACAGAAGTTCTGCCCAGCATGAGAAGATATACGGATTTAAAAGGAAGAGCAGCAAAGAGAAGGGAAACAACCATGGATTACAGTAAGGCACACATTACAGTATTGTTTTATGTTAAAAAATCTGAGGGTTTAATGTCACTTTAAGTAAAAAAAAGAAGGATGTACACCGTCAAAAAGGAGCATATTTCTGCAGGTGTTTCCTGGACAGCCCTGGATGCAAACTCTCTGTGTCCAGGGCTGCTCATCTGTCCCTGTATGCATATAACCATTCAGATTTGTGTCCATTTACTATGTGTGTCAGCCTGTCATTAATTTGCACAATATTTCTGGCTGTGGCCATACCCAAACACCTGTGACTCCTGGGTGCAGAAAAAACCCCTTTCTGATAATGTACAACCCTCTGCAAGCGTGTGAATGAGTCCTAAAGCTGTACTGCAAAGAAAAAGACCCTTGAGGTAGGTCTCCCTCTCCACTGCAAGGGTTAACTATTCTATATGCCTAGGGGATGCTGAATAAGGTGATATACTTTCTGTATTCATCACTACTGCAGGCTTCCACCTCTTCATGCATCCGGTCCCGTGAAGCCTCCGGTAGCACCTCTGACGTCATCCCATGCAGCAGTCCTGCATTTGCATGTAAGGATGCATAGGGCCTACTTCCATTCCAGATCGCCAAACAGGGAAGGAGAGCACCAGCTACAGAGGAAGCGAAAAGAATAAGGTAAGTATTTCGCCTTATTTACCATCTCCTTGCCAAAAAGAAACTGTTAATTGGCTCTCATCTATGAATGGCAGCTTAGTGCATTTTTACAGCTGATCTCCAGGGGAAAAAAATTTGACCCTTGCCTTACCCTCCCCACAGCAAGGGTAAATCTTTTTTGACTGGAGCTCAGTTTTAAAAATGCATTAAGCTGCCATTCGTAGAGGTGAACCAGTCGCACAGGAATTAATGGGATTTCCACTTGAAATACATTTTCATGTAGTAAAACAGTGGAAAGCTTTTACTGCTGGGCAGTACACAAGTTTGAATAGGCTCTAAACTATATCCGATACACTTTCTTTATCAGTTTATTACTGTGGATCCTCCACATTAGAGGTCAGAATATGAGTCCCGCCTTTGTCCTTCACGGTATTAATCATTTTACAGGTTATACCGATATACACGTGAGAAGAGAATCACGCTACTAATCAAAAATGCAATAAACACAACTGGCATACTGTAACTGTCATTATTTTATATTTTTGTTATAATGTTGCTTCCATTAGGGTGGTTGGGATTTTGTTATGGTTCTAGTTGGTCTTGAGTTGGCAATAGGAACAATATGCCTGATAGCTGAAAAATCATTTGAAAAGGTGATAGATAAAATCCATATTACAAAAAAGTTGAGTGCTGTCAGTACCACCAGGGCTGTGGCAAAATTGCAAATCCCATCAGATCTCTGCCTCTGGCAATCATGCTTGCGGTTGTCAGGGTCTTGC